GTTGATGCTCTGAGTTTCAATTTGTTCATATGTTAAATTGAAGTAAAATGACTTTGTCACAATAATTTTATAAGAAAGGTGCTTGCAAGTGATATGTGATAAGCAGCAATCTCTGAATTTTCTTAAACTATCAGATGAGGAAATAAACCAAAAGTAGTAAATGATTTCTATAAGTACAGTACTAGGAAGATTCAGGGTCACATGACACTGAATTGTTTGGCGACATTATGCTTTCTTTACTAAATTTTAATATAAAACTGCAAGAGGCTTTAGCTTAATTGCATTATCCAATGATCTGGATCCTGTTTTAACAAGCTTTGGAGTACACAGTTACAAGAAAACAAATAATGTTTTTGTAATTATTTTAATGTTAGAATCTTTACACCTCTCAAATGAATACTTTTTAAACAAATGCAGTTTTAAATGTGAAAAATTTTGAGGATGGCATTTTAAAATATAAAGTTCAGATTCAATATATGAGTAGAGTATCATAACATATTTGAAGCATACATTATTAAAAACTTGTCATGTACTTAGTAAGTACAGAGTAGTTAAAACTTCCTGATTAGCACAGTGGAACCCCAGTACACTACAAATCAAATAAGATTCAGGGGTCAACCCTCCTCTTCCTGTCTTGAGTAGTGCTTGCTTATACTCTGCCATGAGAATGCTGGGACCCAGCAACAGGGCAAATTACTAGTTTATAAAAATACAGCCACTTCTTACTTTTATAGACATTGCCAAACTTATTCTAAAAACTTATATTTTGTGAGCCAGCAGTTTCTTTAGTTCTTATGAAGTTCTCACAAAAAGTGAAAACATTACTCATAAGTAACTACAGAGGAGCTATAAAACTAGCTTAGTAGATAAAAACATAAACATTTACTTTATTTAGAAGTAAATGACTACATCTTGTATACCTTCCTTAGGGTTGACTCTTGTATTGAACCAATTCCAGATCCAGCAGTATTAACAGAAAATCATCAACATTTCTAACCCTTCTATTAAACTGTGCAGCTATACATGCTCTCAGTTAATGTACAAATGTAATAATCACAGATTACTACTAGCAACCCCTGTGCTTCATAATAGTTATTTCATTTTAAAAAAATGAGTTTAAAATAACTTTCAAAGTCACACATAGAAATGGGGAAATTTTAATTTCTCTGTATTAAATTTACTAAACTCTAAGGATTTCTTACTATATATATATATATATATATATATATATATATATATAAAATTTACTTTGGAATGTGATTGCTATCCTAAGCCTGCTTATTTGTAAATCATCTAATGATATTTAAAGAGAATTATCACTTTCAAGGTGCATACTAAATCTACATGTCTTTTATCTCAAAATTCTACATGTTATCTGAGAGATTATCTACTTTAATCCACATGTTGCATCTACATATATCTTTAATTCATGAGTACTACAACAGTATAGCATTGCTGAATGGATTATTTCCTTGAATCCATTAGCAACAGTTCTAAAGGTGTTTTCTGTTCACCTTTATGTTCCATCTTCTAGACAGAACAAATTACAGCCTTCTAGAAGAGCAACTTTTCTCACTGTATAGAAAACAGCTGGCATTTGCCTTAACAATAAGCACAGCGCTTTGCAGGCCTAAATTAATGGACTGTGACCAGAGTTACAAGGATCCACTCAGAGATAAAGAAAAAACAAACCAGCCTCTAAAAAATTTCTTCAAATGAGGCAGGTTGAGAACATCATCTAGAGATTTGAGAATAAACTGGCAGGAGAATTCCCAAACAGTGCCCTGCTTTTATAACCTTACCACGATAGAAATAACTGAGAGGAGTATGTATGCAGATACTTGTGTTATAATACTACAAAAAATATTAAATCTGCAAAACACAATTTTGGAATTGCTCTGTTGAAAAACAATGAAATGTTTAAACTAGTCAAAGCCACTGTGGATCCCCAGATAGGATCCTCAGGTGAAATGCCAATGCAGTGACCTTCAGTGTAATGGAATCTCATGCTAGCTGACACAGTATGTGGCACTACCGGTTGCCAACTGGAGTGCAATCACAGTATTCACCACTTCTCAGTAACTATTAGACTGTAAATGGAATTTCTTCACCTTTCATGCCACCGTTACTGGATGCTTCTCCAAAGATAAGGGCAAAAAACTCTGTAAAGCGGCCAGTTACACAATATGGCTGATTAGAAAAGAAAAACACAGATAATTCCTTCAAGCAGCTAATCAGTTTATAGCATATATGGACTGTCTGCTGTTGGCAGAGGTTTGTACTCAAATTGTTTTGTTTTGCAGAACTGGATCTAGTGTCCTTTTTGTGTGTTCCTTAGAAGATTATTTTTAATGTAACTTTAAAACCTAATTACTTCACATTTCCAAAATACCAGAGTATATATTTTAATAGGCAAAATAATCCAACATGAAACAATAATTTTATGCTCTTAGAAGAAGTGACTTTCTAGTGATTCACATTGTTTCTTGAAAAGTGAGATTGATGTTAAGTGTGTATCACAACTATTTATTGATAGCTAAACTGTTCAAATCAAATACTATTGATTCCTTCAATTTTAAAAGTGTATTGTTTTTACTTTTTGAATGCTACTGAGAAACACTCTCTAAACCTTTTCTATGCTGTGATTCCAATATTCATTCAAATGTCCTGAATGTAGCAATGTAAAACCAGGACTTAAAATTGAGCTCAGTCTTTTTGGCTATCATGTTAAATATCCAGGAAAGGTGTCTGTCTGCCTGTCTCCCTCACTCCTTCTCTCATATTTCCTGGAAATAATTAAAATGAAAATGAAAAATGACCACAGTAAAAAGAGACAAAAAGTTTCAATCCACAAGAATACCAAGAAAATACTGAAAAGGGTATAAACCTCCTAACATAAGCAAAGGTTCTACGTTATTTTAAATGATCATTCTCAATCATCGATAATTCAGTAAGTTCACATTTTTTATTTTAAAAAAGCACACACTTATCCTTACCTCTCCAAACAAAACCAGTGACTAGTAAGGTAGACTTACACCTTTATTTGCCTCATAAAAGATAGCTGTCAAAACAATGGGGCCATTGTTCTTGTCTAAATTCTTCTTAGGTGGCAAGAAAACCACATTCCTGGGCATTGCATAATCTTTGTGCCTGACCCCCCAAGAACCTTTAAGTCAAATTCATTTACCCCCAGAGGGCAACCCACTATCGTATCTTCTCCACTTTCCAGCCACCTATTAACAATGCACGGTAATTGCAACTGTCACGGGCAGTCGGCAGGAAAAGTAACCCAGCGCTTTTTCCCAGTTTACTGCCAACCCTGAGCCAAACACCTAATAACCATGCCCCAAACAGAAGAAGGACCTACGGTTGCTTTTAAAATGCATCTAAAAACAGCTTTTTGAACAGAACCAGAGGACAATAACCAAACTTGTGCTCTGAATGTGAAGCTCAAAAAACTCAAAATTAAAGACAGAAACATCTTTTGTGATCCTACTGTAGCTTCCTAAACTAACCCCCAGGCAAGCCTGAAAGGACAGCTGAGCCTCTTTCCTCTGAGCTTATCGCTGCTGTTGTGGCTGCTTTTAAGTTTGACTTGTGAAGGAAAACTAGGGAGGGAAAAAAATGTTTGTCCTCCAATGGAATGAGATCACAAGGCCTGGAAAGGCAGTCCTTTGCTCCACTCTCAGTTATTACCTAGGTGAGCAGAGAATAAAGAGCATCACAGGATACAGGCTTCGCCTCAGGTGCAAATGGGTTAAAATCCATCAAAATAAGATGAAACACTTGCTACCTTCTACAATGAAACTTTCTGGTTCTCCTTAAACTTCATCTAAAATCTCTTTAAGGCTTGTTAATTATCAGTCATTTAAATTATTCCATGATAGATTTTGGTCAGCGAATTTACTGTTTAGAACTCATTTATTCACCACTCTTTCACCATTAATCACATTCTGAATATATGTAATTCTAAACAATTTGGATGAATTATTGTAACATTTTCTGAAAGTTTCCATATAGCAAGATGTGAATGTCTCACAGACCAAACTTTTGAGAAGATGAATGATTTGCTTTTGTCCAGGATACTGAGATGTGGAAGAACTTTTAAGAGACAACTGCCTCTCTCACTGGAACAGCATTTACAGACATACATATTCAAAAAGTTATTTATACACATTTCTACATGTACATTAATATAAATCTGGCAATGTTTTAAATATGTTTAGCATCTGCCAAAAAAGAAATACAATAACATACAACTAAAAATCTTAATATGAATGACCAAGCATCTTGGCTTTCTCACAATGAATCTTACTTTAGGACTTAAGAGTCATAGGGTGCATTGGCAACAAACAGGAAAGTGTATGCTGTCTATCAAGCCCTGAGAAAACTCACTTTTAAATTAATTGAAAGGTTCATTTGCCTCTATTTCTAGGTAAGAAAATTAAATCTTCTCCCTTTGCTATTAGTAGAAGTTTGTTAAGATATAAATATTCAGTATTTTCTTCAGTCTTTATAAAATTTCTCCTGGTTGTGCATAATTGCTCATTCAAATAAAACCAAAGCAAACACATCGCCCTTGTTGATAGTAAACAACCTTGTATTATGCCTTCCTCATTAATCATTTCTGGTTTCAATTGTAGAGTGTGTACATTTATGTTTCCAATACGTAGAATATATACAATTATTTTTTTAAGATTCAACTTTTAAAGTTCCTGTGGGTATATTTCTATACATGAAGTAAATCACTTAAGTTAAAAATGGGAAAAATCAAAGCATGTTAAAAATATAGTGGGGTATTCTGCTAGAAACAGTATACTCTTCACAAGGCACAAACAGAAAACAAGAACACTGGTAACACTGCCTTTCAAGCTAGGAAGATGTAATACAGACAATTCATGAAGCAGAAGGGGGGAGCACAAATACTTCATCACCATTAATATTTCTAATATCAACTTCATTTCTGTACATTTGGATCAAAATAATTACATGCATATTACCTTTTATTTCGCCAAAGTTCCCTGATCCCATTGCAAGAAGCTTGTCTTTCCAGTCCTTTGAGAGTAGTTTTTCAATGCTGGGGGTTTCTAAGTAAAGAAAAAAATATAAGCAAATCAACATGACTGTTTTTACAATAGGGCTCATTAAAAGTCTATCTGCTAAAAATAAGGCTATCCCTATCCTGGTCCTCATTCATAATGACTTCATCAACAAACTGATAACAGGGGAGGGGAAAAGAATGTGTTTTGTCACCTGCTGTTTCAAAATCATTAGCTTTCTCCTCTTGTGGAACAAAGCCATACTAATTCTTTATGACAATGGGTACATATAAACCTGCAGTTCATTGTTTTTCAATTTGGAGAACAAATTCTTGCTATAATGGATGCTTGTCAATTTCAGGGTGTTAGTCTGCAGTCAAAAAATAATTATGTTGATAAAATGCAGAGTAAAAAAAGGCAAAGAATTAGCTCTTAAATCTGCTACATGTAATTATATCCCTCTGTGTGTTTACAATTACATCCACTTTATAATATGTGTTTAACATCGTCTGGTGGTAAGCACATTGTGGCAAGATTTGCCAGTACCGTGAACATTTAAAAAAAAGTTGATATAAAAGAAAGGTTTAAAAAGATTGCAAAATCTAGAGAGGTGATTCATGTCTATAACGGAAACCTATTATTTGCTTATTTCAGATTTGTATCATACTCTTCAAATGCCCCGTACTTGGTCAGGACACACACATTTTAGAGACCAAGGCTATGTTTTAGTCTGGTATTTGTTTTTTATATACAACATGGCTTTGACCTCTTCTTTTGTGCTAAATTTTAATGTATAAGTAAATATAAATACTAATAAAACTCCCAAACATTAAACTCAGTTCCAAACAATGTAATTGTATATTCTTGTCAGCATTTAGATGGGTACACAATTACAATGGCTTTCAAACCCACTATTAGCACTGCATTCAGTTAGAAAATGGAGTGTACTAAAAGATAAGTGTCCCAGTATGCACCATCTAAATAACAATACTCACACTTATTATCTGGATCTAAGACATGCACAGCCATTCTCCACATTGGTGTTTATGTGTATTTGTGTTTGTTCAGGCATTTGTTTACCCCCTACTAGGAGCATAAAGGGAGTACATGTTAACTTATCAAAGGGACCGTCTGTCCCAGAGACCATAAGATTATTAGAAACTGGTTAATTTTCCCACAGTAACATGCATTTTAAAGAGTCTTCATCATCATCTTTGGTTAATGCCATGGACCTTTTTTAGGGCCCCATGTTACATTCATCAGTTATCAGAGTCACAAAGCCTGTGTAGAGTTTTCGGCAAAACAAAGACACAATGCATTGAATATTTTGTTTTCAGATGTCAAAAACTTGAGAAAATTAAGATGGTGAAAAGCTCTTAATTCTGTTTTACACACCTCACACAGAAACATATATGAGGCAAATACACAAATGCATATCGTCACTACTATGTACAGCTTTACCTATGGAATGTGTAAAAAGTATATTTTTCCTTTGTCACAAAAATATATACGCTGATTTCTCAGATTTAAGGAATAAAAAGATACTAAAAAATTTACTGTTACGTTTTCTTAAAATATCCCCATTTTTACCATATTGTTTGTAAAATGACAATGGCAAGTCTGAGTTGCAAAACAGTACGTATCTTCATATTGTAACCAATATTTGTTTGCCTAGGCTTTAAAGCTAACTTTAAAATGCTACTGCATGGATTTCCAATGTTTCTACATTTCCAGTAAACACTCTGTGAGCAAAAGCATTTCTTAAACCTTATCAGAGTAGGTCAAACAAACACCACTGTTTCTTCTTTACAGCACTCTACAAAAATTCTTGAGTAGGACGTAAACAGAGCACAGCCAATGTGGTATTTGCAATAGAGTACTGTCAGTCATTAAAAGCTAACAAACCTTTGCAAAGCAGGAATGCAGCAATAGAAATCCATTGTGCACCAACAATAGGACCCTGAACCTCCCTGCACCAAAAGCAGACCATTTTACTTTTAAAGCTATTGTCTGCCAAGTCCATGACAGAGCTTTTCCCCTGCAGCTAGACAAAATATTCACTGTAGTGTGCTTATAAAGAAACAGAAGTTTTCTGTCCAAGTTGCAGAGTTAAAGAAACAGCCACTAGATATCTGAAACCTGCAGAACATTCCTGGCCTCTTCATTAAGTAGTGTAAGTACTGTATAGAGTCACTTTTTTCAAGTACTCGACTTTTAGGATATGTTAAAGAAAAATGAATAACTTCTTTAAGACCAAGTTATTTGGAAAACGTAAAATCAGAGGTTTGTCTAACTCAGGTTTGTCATATCTGTGGATGAGTAAACATACTAATACTTAAGTCTGGATGAGGGCTATACATTAAATTCAGATTCAAATACATTTATTGAGCAGCCTATGTGTCAGGAACTATACTGGATCTTTTTGCCTGTATTTTCCCTCATTTAATCACAGCAACCAACTGAAGACTCAAGAGTGTGTTACTGCATCTGTTCCTCACGTTAAAACACATATATACACATATATAAGGAAAAATGGACTGGTCTGATGTTTCACAAAATGAAATGGAAAAATTAAGGCCTTAAATATTTTTCCTTATAGATTCATCTCATGTATACACAAAGAAATCATAATAAAAGCTACCAGTCTGAATGCCAAGTATCAAGCAGTATACTAGGTCCTTTACACATAGTATCTCAAACACCTCACAATAATATTCTAAATTACATATTGATATACCCATTCATATTTTAAGAAGCAATGCTTAGGGGGATATCATCACCTGCCCAATATTGAAATAAATTCAACTTATTGGATTTCAAAGTCTGTCTTTCTACACACACACACACACACACACACATAAACACACATTTTCATCTGCAAAAGAATTCTGGACAGTAGGAAAAACTACTGTTATTAAATCTACCAGATGAATGAAGAAAATATGTAAAGGCTAAACTTTTGAATTTTCCAGGGTAAGTTATATATATAACAATTATGATATCAAAAGGCATTTTTTATAGTTCTCATGATCCTAAAAATGTGGTCCAATCAGATGACAAAATGACACTGCATTTTAGAGCTCTGGAAAATTTAATGAAAACCTATGAGTAGGTTCAGAGGGACACAAGAAAATGCTTCATTTTACTTATATGTGGATGGAATGTTGTGTTGTAAGTCAAACAACCTGCATTATCACTAAGACTGATATCTAAGGTCTGGGGGGTAGGGTGGAGGGTGTATGTATATCATTTCACCTACTTGACCTGTCTATCTGAATTCCTGTAAAGAGTGTTTACCAGTCTACATCCCATATTCTATCAATTGCTGCAGTTTCAGTTTGTTTACACTGGTAGTTCCCTAAAGAAATAGTAAGAAATGATCTCATAATAATGATCACAATGGATGAGCAGTGACTGAACTTCTCTGAAAACTGTAGAGTATCAAAGAAAATTTATAATTAGAAATGTAAAAGACCCACTGGCAAAGTCCCAATATTTAAATACACCTGTTCACTAACGTGTGAAATTTATCACAATTATGTAAGTGCTGCTTCACTACGGAGTGAAAGAGATAACAATTATCTATTAATTTTGTAAAAGGATGTTTTAAAAAACATAATTGTATTTTATACTATGAATATGTTACCATACTGCATGCATAGTAATTTGCAAATGTTCAAGTTCTGGATCTTTTGTTTTCATGTTAAGATATGCTGCACTGTTTTGTTTCTGTTTTTTTGTTTTTTTTTTTAACTGTTTGTTTGTATTCAAATTGATCCCAGGTCTTTTGGACTGACCTGCATCCCAATCCCTTTTTATTTTGAGACAGGGTTTCTCTAATTGGATAAGCTGACCAGGCTGGAGGAGAACTTGCACTCCTCCTTCCTCAGTCTCCCAGAGTGCTGGGGTCTCAGGTGTACCATCACACCTGGTTTAAGCAGTGTTCTTAGGGTAAACACTTCTAAAGATTCTCCTGAGCATTCTTTCTCCTGAGATGTCTTTCTCTCAAGCAACAGAATATCATGATTACCTTCAAAATGGGAACTAGGTAGGACTTTTGATATTAAAATAAGTATACAAGTCAATTAATTACTGTTTTTGCAAAGTATTTCAGTTTACGGAATGTTGCTCAACATCACAAGTGTCAGTAGTGTATATAGCTATTACATATATTTTGTGGATGAGGAAACTAAGGTTTAGAAACATGCTTTACACAATGTCATTTATCTAGAACATAGAGCAGATAGAATACAAAACCAAGTACTCTTAATTCAAGGATCTGTATCTTCATGGAAAACTTAAATCACATATTTTATAAGAGAAAATAAAATAGATGTTAACAAGATAAGTTAGCAAAAAATGAAAGATAATCTTCACTAGCCCACATGTTAACATTAAGATGAATCTAATTAGTTACTTCTGTTTCTTTCTGCCATTCAACTCTTCTGATATATTTGCTTGTTCCCCCCCTCCCATCCTACTTCTTTGGCTCACATATGCTTCTTCACATCAGTGCCTATGGCAATCCCCACCAATGAATGGCCCCCCCAACTGTGGCAGCCATTGTTACAACAGCATCCTGACTCTTTAGGGCCTGTTCATTCCCTATAACTCGCACTCCATTTTCCCTTCAGTGCCAAATACTCTTAAGATCGACTCCCTCATCTGGAACAATGAGACCTAGAGACTCACGCCAACATATTGTAATTCTCCAACAAGCTGCCAGTGCCAAGAATTAAACCACATTCGCTCCAGTGCAGTAGCTTTACACACAAACTCAGGTTTTTTTGCTTTGTTTCTATGTGTTTTTTTTTCTTCTTAATCTCCCTTGAGCTGCTGTGGCAGAGCTCACTGAAAAATTGAACAAGCAAAAAAAACGTATGTATAATATTTGACTTTCTAAAACAAAGTGCCAAGAGTTAGGTCATACCAAATCTACCACTGTTTATACTTTAATTTTGTAGCTGAAACTAAGTTGAGTTAGTCTAGACATGGGGTAGTATACACATTTACGAATAGGAGGTTTTTTTTTTTTTGGAAGAAACAAT